TAGCTTGAAAAGTCCTCACCCATTATTATTCAAAATAGTGTCAATAAAATAATTTACACATGTGTAGTATTGCCTATAGATACAATGAGCATTCTGGCACTTAAAAAAATATCAACCAAAACGGTAAAAGCAGGTATATCTGAGGAAGACATAAGACCCTGGTAATGCTCCCATGTAGATCTGCCTCAGGGTTACCGCTAAGGCATGTAGCCCCTGTGCTTTTTAAAACCTCCACCTCAATTCAAGGACACTACTGCCTGATTTGTAAAAGTAAACAAGAGGAAGCATACAAACTACAAAACATAAACACTGCACGATTATGTGAGTATAAATCAAAATTATTTACCCAAGCTTGTGCAGTGAGAAAAACCTTGAAGTCTTCATTAAATGTTAAAGTGGGATGATCAGCAATTCTGTTCAAAAATTTATGTAATGCCTTCCTGCGGGTCTCGATGAAGTCATCGTTGAAACGCTCCACCATTCCTTTCACTATAAACTTTTCCGGTAATGGCTGAGACCGAAAACAAACACAAAGAGGAGAGCTATCTGAGCATAGTATGGCACAAATTTACAGGGACTTCTACACTTATTCTTTTGGCTAGACTAGCGGAACATCAAATTATTTCTTGTAATAACAACTTTTGAAAATTCACAATGTTAGAGCCCAAAACCTCAGTCCATATTATACTAGTTTTATTACACAGTCTACATACTTAGAAATAAACATATCTAAGACAAATGTGACTAAGATATGGATTACGCTAGATTTAGAGATCTCATGTTAGATTTTAGGCATTCCAAAAGAAAGAAAAAAGAGGAAGAAAACCCTGAAAAAACGTGCGGACTTACTGGAATAATGAGAGTGGGGTGTGCTTCTTCAAGTTTGCCCTTCAACCAAAGGAAGTCTTGATAACGCCTCCTAACTTCAAATTCACTAGAGTCGAACTCCCCACGAGACGTCTACGGAAAGTCGGAGAAAATAACAGCACAAGCCATGTAAGACATTTGCCTAATGTTATTGTACACACTCTGAAGTAAATGAGTCTCTGAGAAAAATTAACAAATTGTAATTATTCAGTGTTTGTCAGCCTGTATTTTTTTAGTCATCTATTCATGTAGCAGATGAAATAAAGCAAACTTTCTGGTATTTCCAGAAAGAAAGCAAACATTCTGCTTAAATTTAAAGTCCAAACTGAAAAATCTGTCTTACAACAGCCATCTGCTTTCCACAGGATTTTAACTACTATTCTCTTTGGCATGATTTTCTCACTCAAGAAAAAAGTGTGCTCCGAATTAGGTTTCAAATATATTTCTTTTCACGAGATGATCAGAATTCAGAATTTGAGGAAAGTCCTATTTTTACAATTTGGAAAATAACCTGGATGTGACTGAGAAAAATGTTTTCTTGGCATTTGCTCAAATGAATTGCTTTGCTAAAATTTGCTTTTAGTATATAAAAATTGTAACATTTTTCAGAGTGATTTTATCACTGCATTTTTAAAAATGCAATTAATGGATATTTGATGTGAAAAGAAAATCATTCTGTCATTTCTCAAGGAGTTTTGAGTTACGTGCCCAAACTCCTAAAAATTAAGTGAATACATTAAGATATCTGTTCTTCGCCACCCAAAAATCTACACCATCACATATGACAAGTACGTGAGTATAATATCAGCTTCACATGTACTGCCTCAATCTCAGACCAGAAACAAATAGATGGCTTCTGCAGTGCATACTTACCTCTCATTAGAAAACAGATTGTTTTTCCTACACCTTAACTGAGTTTTTACGTATTAAAAATTACATGCAGTAATATTTAAGCTGAAATTTTCCTGAAGCACTAAAGATGGAAAAAAAATTGTTAATATATCACATTCTCACCAAAAATATCACTCACATAGATAAACCAATTGTAAAATCAGGTAGTTCAAGGCATAAGATGCAATCCTGTCACAAAATCAGTTGTGAAACTTATATTTTCAAAGCCTAATCTTTTAAAATGAATGTTTAAAATAGCACACATTATAGCTTAGTAAAATATTCCCTTTGTAGTGTGAAAAAGTGGAGGTAAATGAGACGTGGAAGTTTAAGAAACTAAATGTTCATGAAACCCTACAAAAGACTATTTCCAAAGGGTGTAAGGTATGGAAATGGTAAAGACAGGGAAACTGAATCTGGCTGACACACAGTTTAACAATATATACACACTGACTGGCATGTGTACATATGTACACAAACACACACATGCATGTATACATACATGTGCATACAAAACACTGTGCAGTGTCACTCATTAAGAAATACTCACAGAGCACGTCTCTGTGCCAGGCACATATGTACAGGTTCAATACCAATTTCCAAGAAAATAAATTGGCATAACTGACAATAAATGCACTCAAAAATGGGCAATTAAAGTAAGATGAGCAGTACACGTCCTCAAGTATTTCCAACGCTTTAGCAACATAAGATGTTCTGGTGTAAATTTTAGAAAGAAAAAGATATAAAATCAAGTCAATTATTTGGCTCATTCTGTTCTCATCATTCTTTCGTTGACTTCAAAGAACTCTCTACCGTACCGTACCCACAGACGAAGAGAACAGAGGGTGAGTATACGTACGAAGAAAAATGCACTGTCTGTGTAAGACTTCAGTCAGTTCCTGAAGGGGCGGGACAAGGAAAACGGCCAAAAGCAGCTGCGTTTACATCAGGCGTAATTTCCCTACAGCAGAGAATCATTATCTCCGCTAGCGTAGCCAACTTTGATCATTAGAAGACAGACAAGAGCTTCTGAACTACGAGAATAACTGGGTTTCAGGATATCCGTTCAGCGTAGAAAGCACATGTGTCGCACGAAGCTCACTTGAAGTAGAAACACTACTTGTAATCTAGAAGGCACTTTTACATGGAAGCAATATTGTAAAGGACGATTATCTGTTTCTGTATGACCATAAAACCTCAGAAACTTGAAATCTGACCTCCATAAACTCCATATAATCTATAGACCAAGATTCAATAAACACTGGCCTTTGGTCAACTGCGAAAAATTATTCTAAATTCTAAAGATTTAAAAAACTGGTTTGGAGTAAAAATGAATCCTAGTCATCAATTCAGCCCATCAAGAAAATGACGGAGCCCCTCCCTGCATGCTGCTAGGCATTCACAGACCTGTCTTCACAGTGCGGGTGTGGCAGAGAAGCCCTCGGTAACCCTCTTCGCTTCTACTTCTACACTAGTACGGGAAAGGGCCCTCTAGACCTTCAAAAGAGAAAGTATGTATGTACTGCTTCGTTAAAGCACTAAGTCACGTTAGATATCTGACCGGGAGAGTAAGATGTAATTTCCCATAAGGAAATTTCCCATAAGGACAGATGCCATGAATCAGGTGTCCTGGTGCTCACCACTATGTATAGTCAAATCATTCCTAAGCATTCCTATGCAGGAGACTGTCCGTGTATGTGTGAATCCGTATGTGCGTTCATCTTACCAGCCTCAGTGCCCACGAATAGAAATATTTATAACTAAAACCTGCTTGAAGAAGGCATTTCTAAACGTCCATTAGACGAGGTACTCACAATATCTTGTATTTTTCCTTTACAACTCTTATAACTATAATTAAATAACTGGTTTTTAATACTGTCATCCTACCAATCACCCTGACTGACAGATCTGTGAAGGAAAAAGTGTCCTCTCTCAGGTCTGTCCTGATGAATAGTGTCATCCTAACATACAAGCCAGTACTGGGAAGCAACAGGCATGCAATAAAACTTTATAGAGTAAATTATTAAATGAATAAATGAAGATAAATGACTGGAGGAGGAGAGAGAGAGGAGCATGGAGGGAGGGGGAGTAAAACTGTTCACGATGCACCGTGTGTATGTCCCAATTTCCCTAGATGAATGCAATCATTATATTTCGCAAACATGCACCAATGAAAATAAAAACAATTTATGTAACTAACTGCATACATGTATTTTAGAATTTTGACATAAGCAGATAGAACACCCATTCAACAAGTGAGGGACAAGCAGAACAAAGCCTTAGATTATTAAAAAAGAAGACAAGTGAATAACAAAGATTATTTAATACCATAATGTATATTAAGTGCTGATATACTTGTACCAGTAATTTATACTTCCACTTACACGGATCATTCTGTGCAATAAGGATGGTAGCAAAAGCAATGCGGGTAAAACAAAGTGTACAATAGTTACAATTAAAAAGTGGCCATATTCATATACAGAAACATGAAAATATAATGGGAAAAATACTGTATGAAAGTCAGTTGGGTTTAAATCCAGATCAGCAGATTATACGGTATAATCTTTGGTTGTTGCTAAGTTATGTTGCTCTCATTAATAAATTAAGGGTAAGTTATAATGTCTAAATTCTAGAATAATTATGAGCTTAAATGAATTAATATGAAGAAAATGGTTAGAACATTACCTAATGCAAAGTAGCCATAGTCAGTATCAACTGGTTTTTATATTCCAATATTATTATGACTGACTAGAAAAGTAGTCCAAAGTATGATGTAAATATGGATAAATCATATGGTCTTATTAATCAGAATAAAATCTAAAGACGGTCTTTCTGAGACTTAAAAGCAGTTAGAAAATAATTCAGTTTTGTCGTTTTGTACCATGTCTTGATATTGCTGAGATACAATAAATTCAGCCACTAATTCCTTTACCAAAAATTAAATTGCTTCCTCACTATGTCCTGAGAAATGTATCTAGAATGAGTAATAACTTTAGATTTAGTCACCTTCCTTGAAAAGCTGAGGACTCACCAGGAACAAATACAAATAAACACATAGTCATCTGCATAAAAACAGGTAGGGGCAACTGCTGCATATTTATCACAGGTGAGGCACGCTGCTAAGTGTTCTACATTGATTACTTATCTTAAATCCATTCTGACAACAGGCAGAGCTAGGGTGTACTACCATCTCAGTTTTATAGATTGAAAACACCCTGAGGCTTGGAAAGATGAAATGCATGATTTTAACTTCTCTCCTCTACTGATTCCAGTGTCTTAAATTCCTTAATTGCAGTTGGAACAGCGGAAAAGCAGAGCAAAGGCGGCTGTTTCAGCGGTGAGGCAATAAACAGAGCAGCCTTTGAGCCAGCTGACATTTCGAGTTGTGTCTGGAAAAGTAAACAGCAGCTCCTCTGTCCCTGTTACACGTCAGACAGAAGGGAAAGCACAGGGTCTTGAAAGCACGAAGTACCCTAGAATATTGTGAAGCAGCTCTAACACAGAGCTGGGATTCTGAACACGTGGAGTCAGAGACAAACCTTCAACGAAGCTTTTTCCTTTACACACCCTGTACGGGGTTTATATTTTTGTACTGTCAGAAATGAAGGGCCAAAAAATGAAATTTAACCAACTAAGTGAGGAGATCAGATGTACAATTTTTAGGAAACGTAACTGCACCAGTGTGGAGGCTGCGGTGGAAGATGTACAGGACATAGTTCAAAAACTTTACGGCTAAAAAAAGAGGACTAGAGATGTAGCTCGGTGTTAGAAATGCTTGCCTAGTGAACCTGAGGTCCTGGGTCCAATATTTAGTGTAAATAGGTAATACGTAAGTAAATAAAGCCATCCCAGGATCACCTAGTAGCTTCAAAATAGATGGATGTCCTTCTGTATTTATAAACCACATGGGCTTAGAGGAGGAGTATAACACATTTTCTAACTTATGAACAGAATTTTTTATTGACTACCATCAAGTAAAGAATTTAGTAAAACATAAATGATGCTATCTGGTTGATTTATTTTGTCTAAGGTAAAGTATTTCTGGAGAGGATTAAAAAGATTTCAGTTCTACATGTACTTCTGCCCTTGAATTATCTAGACAAGTAATAGTACTTCATATATAAGACAAAACAGCTACTTACTCCTATTTGGAAAACAAGTGGTATTATATTTTGTAATCATCATAAGAAATAAAAATATAAAATATTTTGCCCTGTTTTTTATCATTTAGTTTACTTGCAACCTAAGACTCTTTTCTAAAGGCATTTCTTTATAATTAGTGTAAAAACCTAAATGTTCTTATACTAATAAATACAATGAAATGAGTATTTCTCAAGTCTATTCAAATGTCACATGATTCATACAGAACAAGCAAAGGGCCGACAGGATGCAATGTCTTACCCAACAACAGTTGAAAAAATAAGTCAAGTCAGCTAAGATCCTGTAAAATTAAGAGTTATGATGAGCAAGAAGCACTTCTAAAAGTCCAGGGAGAGCACCCACAGTCAAGAAAATGCTTATTCACTGTTTACCTTGGTAATGATTCTGTAAGTAATGAACGTTTCAATTGTAGTGACATGGCTCTCAGGTTCATCGACGGTAATGAAGAGATCCTTCAGGTCTGACTCATCTTCAAACTTGATTTGGTTGATCATTGATAAAGGCGACGTTGGCATCATAGGGCTGAAGGAGTTAATGTCCGTCAAGGAGGCATCCTACAGAACAAATCATTCAAATACTGACATCAAATGAAAAAACTATTAAAAATTGAATGCCTTAGACAGCATCAATATTAATGAAATAGTTCAAGAATAAAAAGGACAACTGGACTTCTGGCTAAGTATAGCAAGGAAAGAATGAGGGGCAAGTGGTTTAGTATCATTATTCCTCAGGGAAATATAAGTCAAAGCCATAACACAATACTTCCCACCCACTAAGGCAGTTAGAATAAAAAAATCAGATACTAAATGCAAGCATGAATCTTGACCATCAAATTGGTTGGCTTGGGAGACAGCAGTGACTAGCAAAGCACACTTCTGGGTGTGTATGGGTGGGTCATGGGTGTGACCTTGGCCCCGCCCCTGCACGGAAAGGGGGGGGGGGGGGTGTTCTCCTTTGCTGTTTCCCAGATGCCGTGAGCTGAACAGCAGCATTCTTCCACCACCCTCTTCTGCCATGCTATTTCTGCCTCAGAGTCAGCCGATATGAACTGAAGTCATCAGCCAAAATAAACAACTTTTCCCTTAAGTTGTGAACACCAAGTATTTTGTCTCAGCAAGGGAAAGCGGGCTAATAACACTCAGTGTTTGAGACAGTGTGAAGCGGCTGAAGTCTCACGCACTGCCGGTGGGAATGTAAAATTGCATGGCCATTTTTCACCAAACAGTTCAGTCACCGCTCGAACAGAAGCCAGGTGTGATAGTACACGCCTGTCGCCCCAGCGCTTGGGTGGCTAAGCCAGGAGAACCACAGTGAGGCCAGTCTGGGTGACAGTGAAACCACATCTTAAAAATCAAACACACAAAAAATGTTAAAGAGTTACCAAATAGACCTTGCAATTCCACTCCACGCAATATTTGCAAACGAAAACGTGTCTACACAGAAGCTAATGCATCAACGGTCACTGTAGTACTACTTCTAATAAAGTAGGAACAGCCCAGTGTCCATCAAATGATTTCATTTCTATGAAATATCCACAGTGGAACATGTACGGATACTAAAAGCAGATCTGTGCTTTGTTAGTGCTGAAAGACTGAGGGTAAAACAGCCGACAACTGAAGGTCACAAGGTTGCATCATAAAGTCAGAAAAGCACCCTAAAATATTCCTATGATGGACCTATAACTCAGTGAATATGCCAAAAACGATTAATTATATGTTTAATAAGTGATCAGTGCGGCATACAAGCTACCTGTGATTAAAACTCTTAGAAAGTATCTTACAAATACAGTATGTTAAACTGTTTTTACCTTTGCTTCCTCATAAAATCTCACCCAGAAAATAATGAGAAGGAAACGAACAAAAGGCTATGGTTCGAAGGTATGTGTCCCCTCCAAAATTCACGTTGAAACTGAACCCTCAACGTAACGGTAGGTGGGCCCTTAGGAGATGCTCCAGTGATCTGGGTACAGCAGCTGGAGATGGCTCGGGCGACCTTACCAAAGGGCCGCCGGGAACTTGCAGGCTGCTCGTTCCCTGCCCATCTGCCTTGTGCCACGTGAGGACACGGCCACAAGGCCTTCATCTTGGAAGGAAGACTGCCCTCAGTAGTCAGCACCTTGATCTCGGACTTTTCAGCCTCAGGAACTGTGACTAATAAATTCCTACTTCTAAATTACCCATCCTTGAGTATTCTGTATAGTACCACAGACTATAAGAAAGAATAAAGAGGGAACTGTAATGAGCGAGATGTATCAATTACTTTATAGAGATCGGAAATCCGATCACCAAGTACTAACTGAAACAGTTCAAAGAGAGATGAGAAGTAACCCAGAAAAGATGTGAACCAGAAAGAAGCAAGTATATTAATGACATAGAATCCCAGAAAGGCTATGGGATTGAAAGCATCAATAATCCGTGGGTAAAGAGACGGTGGATCAGAAGTCCCACTTAACCCAGCTATTCCCCTTCTGGGTATTTCTTTGGAAGAATTAAAAATGTCATACCACCATGATATATGTGCACCCATGTTTATAGCAGCACAATTTGTTATAGCTAAATCATGGAAACAACCCAACGCTCATCCACTGAGGAATGGATAAAAAAGATACGGTATTTTTATACAATGGAACATTACTCAGCTATTAAAAAAAGATAAACTTGAGGCTTTTATAGGTAAATGGATGCAACTAGAGACCATACTCATAAGTGAAATAAACTGGACCCAGGTGGGTAAACATCATATTGTCTCCCTGGTGTAAGAACATGCAAGAGTACATAAAACCCAAAATGTACAATAGATACTATGAAAGGGAAGGAAACTGCGCAAAGGAAGGAAAAACTGGGATGAGGGAAAGAAGAAAAAGAAACTACTAAGGCAATATACATGGATAGCTGGGATAACTGTACTGCTGATGTTCGGTGGTTTATTGAAAAGAACAGTTAATGCTTACTTTTTTAAAATATATTTTGAACAATTTTGCATGCTTATATCTGGTAATCTGAGCAACTGATATGAAGACAACAACATTCACTAGAACAATCACTGGTGAATTCCTACCATCCTGTCTAGTGCAACTCTGTATTATCTCTAATTTTTTTTTAAATTATTATTTTCTTATTCTCTGTAATGACTTGACAAATCTTCCATTCTTACATCTGGCAATCTGAGCAATTTCGTTGAAGATAACAATATATAATAGAACAACCATTGTTAGTCCCTATCATTTCGTTAGAAACCCCATATCATATTTAATGTCCTTGCTTTGTTTTGTCTGTATTTTGCTATTTTTTTTTTTTTTACTATTCTCTTTAAAATAAAAAACATGGTGGTAGAACCAAAACTAGAGGATTAGTTTAAAATCTAATCAAATAAAAATAACTTCAGATTCACTCACCTACTCCATGAAATCAGGTAATATTCCTACCCCAATTCTTTTTTTAAAGGAGGAAAAGCTTATTTAGCTCATTGTTCGGAGATGTTTTAGTCTATCACTGGCTGCCTCCAAGGCAGAACACCACATGGCAGAGGGGCAAATGTTTACGGTAGCAGAAAACAGCAAAAACAGGAGAAAGAGTGAGAGGCCCTACCCCAATTCTGTGGCCTACTGGAAGTGTGCTTCACTCAGGGTCACTAAACGCGAGGGCATCAGGTGAAGGGGGGCCTGTGAACATACAGATAATGAGGAAAGTTCTGCATCCAACCCTCTTTCTCACTTGGCCCCAAGAACACCTGCAGGGAAATGTGCAACGCAGTCTTCAACTACGCTGGCTTCTCCAAGGTGCTCTGGGTCCTTTCAGAGGAGACTGGTATTTACAAACCAGAACAGGAGTGCTAGGAAATCCATGTATGACACACAGACACACACACATGCCACATGCACACACTTCATTTAGGTCTGCTCTATTGATAGAAAAAGGTATGAAATGTTAAAAGTTCACCAGTATTTCCAATTCTGATTCGATACACAGGGCTTACTCTAGCCTTTCTCTCTTCCTAACTGCTTTCCCCAGCAGGAGGAAGCCAGGCTCCCATTCTCCTAAACACCTTTACTGATTTGTTCAATCCCTTTGTGCCAACTTCCCCGTGAGCCGGCACCCGCTCCACTGCTCTACCTGCGGAGGCCAAGGCGCCTTCGTTCGCAGGCTCACACTGCCTGGCGCCTCCTTGCCCAACCCCAGGAGCAGCAGCCTTGGCCTTTGGTCACCTTCACGTTTCAGTTCTCTGCTCCGTCCTATTTAAACAAACAAAAGGGAAGAAATGGGTAAGGAAGTACTACACATTATTTTGTGGTTTTTGCAAATAAACTGTTATGGTTTGTGTCTGTGTGTCCCCCCCAAAGCCTCATGCTGATGGGGCAGGCTTTTAGAGTTTGACTGATTATTGGTGTGAGAGCTACACCCGCCCTGGGGTGGATAGTTTGCATATGTAAGGGAGAGGAAGAGGCTGCTTGCGGCCATTCCTCCCTAGCGTGCTTGTTGTTTCTGCTATGTTCCGCCGCCATGAGCTGTAGCCCTCTGCCATGTGCCACTCTGCCTTGTAACCTGCCAAGTGTGGACTGAAAACTCCACAAACTGTAAGTGAAATAAACCTTTCCTTCCTTAATTTTGGGCGTCAAGTACTTTGTCCCAGCAAGGAGAGAAAAGTAACCAAGACATAAACATTTTAAAATGAAACAAAAGGATAACGGGCAGTCAGTTTTAAAGTCCAAAGGCCTCATTCACATGTAAAGATAAAGCTAACTCAATACAACACTGGAGTAATTTGGGCAGTACTAGTAATGACTTGTTCTCAAACTCTGTACTTTCTCTTTTGATACATTTTCCCCAAAAGTAAGAATGTAGATATAGATGTTGGAATCAAAAGTTTCACCGCTTGTGATGAAAAAGACTGAAGTTAAACTGCTATATTCAGAAATTAAATTTGAAACCCAGCCCACCCTAGTTCACCAACTGGTCAGTCCTGAGTGCAAAAGGAAGTCAAAAACAGCTTCTAATCCTCTCTGCTGCTGTCTGAGCAGGGAATATGGAATCATTAATTGCAGACTATGTTAAATTAAGGAGCTGAACTTGAGGATCTTCAAAATCTCTGAATGTATTAGATGAAATCATAATACAGACTCATTTTCCCCCTCGAACCCAATCAATACAAATGCTTTTGAGGCATCAGTAATACCCAGAGCATTTCTCTAAGGGCTCTTTCTACACCAAGTTTAGCTATGCAAACTCTAATGCAGCGTATAGGAAATCCTCAGATGCGGTAACACAAGAGATATTCTTGTGGGACAAAATAACTGAAGAGACAAGAATAACCACGGCACATTAAATTAAGAAGGACAGACCATTTTGATCACCAAAAGATTTGTGAAAGGTAAACATTTAGGTTCCTTTGGACCAAGGAGTGGAGGACAAATTTCAGCTGGGTCCATCAGACACACAAAAGCACAGAGGTAATAAATGCCTTGAAAGAAAAATTTAGTGAAATAAATCACTTTACGTTTCTATGAGATGAAACAATAAATTTTACCCATGCTTAAATACCCTAAAGTGATCAGAAG